AAATCAGGGACTGGAAAGGCGAGGAAGTAGAAGTAGACGGCAAGGGGGGGGGGGGTTGAGGGGAGGGTCTTAATCCCCCTCAATTTTGCAGCAGGGTCGTCATCTCCCTCTACATCATACTTTAGTTCTTCCTCATTAACAAGAGGGGGAAAAAATCAGTATATTCACTCCGCACAGCAGGCCACCAACACCAACAGAGGCCGCCATTCCTCTTCTCAAATCACACAATATTACGAAGACGCCGCCCGAAGAAAAAAAAATCAATACCATCTCACAACCCCCTATACAGATATAGATAAAGAAACAGATAAAAACAAATAATAAAACAACAATCGCCGGAATCAGAGCAAGACGCCCGGGACAATACCAGCGCCGCTCCCCACTTCCGGTCACGTTTCGGTCTTTCGGTCGGCCAGCCCCGCCGTCTGCGCTCCCCCCCCCCTCCCCATCCCCCATTCCGGGCAGGTCGAACTGCTTACACAAAAGAGCTGACACATCCACATCGGCGGCGACTATCTGGCCTGCGCGGGTTCATTATATATATAAAAAGAGAGACACACGAGGAAGTCTCAATTCCGAAAGAATGGGCCTTTTGTAATGGCAAGTGCTGACACGAGACTCATAAGAATGGCGCATCCGAGAGTAAAACCTTATTGCAAATCAGTGTATATCCGGCGTTGTAATAAGCCGTTCCTACGGGTGAAAAATCGGTAAAGAAGACATGATGAATACATATATACCATAAAAAACCCTACCACAGCTTTCGTTTCATAAGTAACGTCAAACACAAATTCCACAAAACAGAATGATAACAATACGCTGTAAACTGCTGCGATCACAACACGTGCTGGAGGGCGGCCATCCAATCACGTGCTTGATACGCTCTCAAGCGCCGACCGGAAGATGCAAACGCGGCTGGCAAAAGCCCTTTGAACAAGCAACAGCCTTTTAAGAGAGGGCGACGAGCCTATTCTTCCCCAAAAGTGGTTCATCATCATGCAGAGTAACTATTATTATTTCTTTCTATCGTCCTCGAATCTTTTGCGGTGGTACTGTCAGTTTTTTTCTTCCTTTTTCATCGATCAAGAAAGTGAACAAACACTGACCGCCGTGTGCGGCAACGCGATCCCTTTAGTAAATACTCTCCTCGCCAGTCCACTTCTTTTCTTTCCCTCTATGCGCGCTCTCTCTCTCTCTCTCTCTCTCTCTCTCTCTCTCTCTCTCTCTCTCTCTCTCTCTCTCTCTCTCTCTCTCTCTCTCTCTCTCTCTCTCTCTCTCTTCATTTCTCTTACACGCTTTCCCTTCAACCTCCGCGGCCAATTCTCTCCTCCCTCCTACTCTTTTCCATTCCCTCACCCCCCCCTGTCTCCCTCCCTCTCCATCATGCTAAACAACTTCTCTCTCTTCCTCTCTCTCCCTGCCCTACCCATCTCCCTCTCCCTATCCCACACCCTCTTCCTCATCCTCACACTCTCCCCCTCATCCTTACCTTCTCCCTAACCCTCACCCTCACTCTTACCCTCCTACCACTAATTCCTCCCCTTCCTCTCCCCTCCCACTCCCCTCTCTCTCCTTATCCCTGCCTCCTCCCTTCCCTCTCCCCTCCCTCTCCTTATCCCTGCCTCCTCCCCTCCCTCTCCCCTCCCTCTCCTTATCCCTGCCTCCTCCCCTCCCACCCCTGCCTTGCCTACCTGATGTGCGTGCCAAATCACATCCATGTCGTAGCACGGAACGAGGAACTTGTCCGGATGGAGTTTCTTGAGCGCAAGGAACTGTCTGTAACGGCGTTCGCTTCGTCGCAGAAAGCCCTTGTTGCGGTAATGTGGGAGCGACACCTGTGACGAGGAGAAAATTAGAGGTAAGGAGATATATGCATCAGCAGAAAAATGACAGCAAGACGTGTAATCATCGATCATTCGTCTACTAAATACGTAAGTCCAGCGATATGGAATAAAAAACACAGGGAAAAAGTGTCTCTCTCCCTTAAGTGGCGTCCCATCTCCGCACTTCTTTCTCACCTGGTAATAAAATACGCTCTGCCTCTCAACGGCCGTCCGGAGATCATAAGAGATCTTGGAGTCCTTCTCGGCGTCCTTGACAGCGTCTTCCTCTGTGTAGGATCCGTCGAGAGGGAGGTCCCACGCCTCCTCCGGGTACTCGGCTTCCCAGAGGCGCCGGCCGCGCTCGCGGGCTCGATCCAGCGCCTTCCAGAGGCAGAGAGGGAGAATGGGAGGTCTTATTATCTCTCTATATATAGGAAGAGGAGGAAGGGGAGGAGGAAGGGGAGGAGGAAGGGGAGGAGGAAGGGGAGGAGGAAGGGGAGGAGGAAGGGGAGGAGTAAGGGGAGGAGGAAGAGAAGGAGGAAGGGAAGGAGGAGGAGGAGGAGGAAGGGAAGGAGGAAGGGGAAGAGGAGGAGGAGGAGGGGGAAGAGGAAGAGGAGGGGGAGGGAGAGAAGGAGGAGGAAGAGGAAGAGGAGGAGGAAGAGGAGGAGGAAGAGGAGGAGGGAGAGGAGAAGGAGGAGAAGGAGGAGGAGAAGGAGGAGGAAAAGGAGAAGAAGGAGAAGGATAAGAAGAAGGAGGAGAAGGAGAAGGAGAAGAAAGAGAAGAAGGAGGAGAAGGAGAAGATGGTAAAGAAGAAGAAAGTGGAGATGAGGGAGAAGAGAAAAAGGAGAAGGAGAAGGAACAGGAGAACAACAGTTGTAACAATAATGATGATGATGATAATAACAATAATAATAATAATAATAATAATAATAATAATAATAATAATAATACGAAAAAAGGCTGCATGACAGAAAGAGGACTGGGGAAAGGTGAGCTTCCTACCTTGGACGTCATGAGTCGATGGTGGACCTGTGTTCCGGCCACAGCCTGACAGTCTTGGTGATAATGCTGAGGGGCCAGCATGTGCACCAGCCACACCCAGTGTACGTCGAGAGGGGGCGCCGCACCCTCGCATTCCCCTTTCGCGGCCAGAGGCAGCCAGAGGCGCTCGTACCTGCAAAAGCAATGATAATGAATGCAGTCAAATAAAATACTGTAAATAATGCTTAGAAATCAATGCCATGAGGCTACCACGTCCTTATAAAGGCTACTGCATTTTTTACAAGGAAAATCAGACAGAAGCGCAGCGTACCTGCGCAGCGCTGCCTTCACCAAAGGCCCGCTGTACAAGGCGGGATGAGCATCCACGGTGGCCAAGAAGGTCAGCAACTTGCCCGCTGCACGGACGAGGTTCACGCCCACACGCACATCTCGTACCCGCGGAAGCGCCGACGGCTTCGGGGCCGCACCGTGGGCCTTCGGGGTTCGAGAATCGCCCCCGGCTTCGGGCGTCAACGAGGCGATGACAGCATCTTCATACGACGGGAGATCCGGTGCCGACGGCCGGAAGGGGCGTCTCTCCGCCGAGTCGGTGCTGTCTGCATTCGATGTGTGAACCGTCGGCGCCGGTTCCGGTTCCGACGTCGTGGCAGGAGACGCGCTGCTGGGAGATGTGTCGTCGGGAAGCGGGGGTGCGCTGGGCGCCGAACTGGTCTCCGTCTCCAACTGAGGTGTTTCTGAAGGCGTTTTGATCGGCGTCGGCGGCTGCACTCTGATTTCACATACTTGTGGTTCTAAGTGTATTTCTTCTATACCTCTGGAGGTTGGCTCTACAACTACGACCGAGGGAACCTCTGGACTGACGGCGGCATCAGCGGGAACCTCGCCCTCAGCGCCGCTACTAGCTGCACCCGGCGTTTCTGAAAGTTCCTTCTGGTCGGCAGCGCCGGCCGCGTCGGGGGGTTGGCTGGCATCGAGGGAATGACTCTGAGAAGGCTTGGCAGCGCATAATGCACCCGTGGTGCTGTGGCCGGACTGGCGGCTCCCCATAACCTGCGCCAAAAAAGACAAGCATGGTCACTTTACATTAAAAAAATATATATAAAATAACAAATCATTCTACTTATCGATAATCAGAAATTATATGTGTGTATGAAATATGTCCTTTATGCGTAAAAATATGAGTAAGTAATCAAATTAACTACAGGAAGAGACAGACCGAGAGAGCGAGAGGGCGAGAGGGCGAGAGAGAGAGACAAAGAGACAGAGAGAGAGAGAGAGAGAGAGAGAGAGAGAGAGAGAGAGAGAGAGAGAGAGAGAGAGAGAGAGAGAGAGAGAGAGAGAGAGAGAGAGAGAGAGAGAGAGAGAGAGAGAGAGAGAGAGAGAGAGACCAAGGGAGAAATCCTATAAAGAAAGGGTAGAAACACAACACCCCCGACGCCACATCACGGGAAACGCCCCCCGGATTATGGGATAAAACAACCAGTGCTAATGCTTATATCCACCGTGCTATTTCCAGACCGAAGATTAGGCCTATAGACCGTCGTTATTCGTCGATACCCAGATAGGCGGGGGGGAAAAATCGCCGCGACCTCTCCGACACAGCGAAAAATTGGTTACGAGGTGTACGAATACGAAAAGTTTTAATCTCGGGCGTCGCTCTGACTACATCTTGCTTTTACTGAGTGAAAATTGACAGCTGGTAACTTTCCCCTCGAAGAATTGGGATCCATTTTTTTAAAAGGATATCAGTATTCCAAGGATCATGGGTGACATAAGGAAACAGTTATTAAGTGAAAACAGATAATTATTTTCTCCGAGAAATGTTACCAGAGCTATGAATATATATATATTTTTTATACGCCTTCCTGTTCTACGCCTTTTTTGGAGTTTAACTTTGTGAATATTGGTGTAAAACTAATTGTGTTGAGGATTAAGAACTGAGGACAAATCCAAAACGTTATGTGTTATGAGTCCATCGGCTTCAGTATCTTCCTCGCCATATTTCATACGGGGAAAGAAATATTCCTCGATCGGAGTGACTGAACTAAATTTGCAAATGTATTTAAAAAATAATAAAACTTCTATCATTAAAAAAATGACCTCCTTTTATCTACGCATGCTGTGAAATACTAATGACTTATGAATGAAGAAACACATCAAGAACCAAATATAACC